TTCATATGGAAACCCATCTGTTACACGGGGATTTCATTTTTTTTAAACTTATTTGAACTCCAGACTTTTTGTGTGTTCAAAATGCACCATTCAAAGCCACATCATCAATTTTCAACCTTTTTTTTACTTCATTTGTTATTTTTCATGCATTTACTGATTTTTTGGAGCTATAAGACCCTGAAATTCAAAAGCATTTCAAATGAAATCTGAAAAGGTTGAAAGTTGGCATGGTATCATCATTTCACCCACATAACATGTGCTAAAAAGTTGAGCGGTTACGGCAAGAACTAGATGCACTTCGTGTACAAAATGAACAATCTTTTTCGAAGTATGAGGGTTTCATACGGAAACTCATCTGTTACACAGGGATTTCATTTTTTAAACTTATTTGAACTCCAGACTTTTTGTGTGTTCAAAATGCACTATTCAAAGCCACATCATCAATTTTCAACCTTTTTTTACTTCATTTGTTATTTTTCATGCATTTACTGATTTTTTTGAGCTATAAGACCCTGAAATTCAAAAGCATTTCAAATGAAATCTGAAAAGGTTGAAAGTTGGCATGGTATCATCGTTTCACCCACATAACATGTGCTAAAAAGTTGAGAGGGTTACGGCAAGAACTAGATGCACTTCGTGTACAAAATGAACAATCTTTTTCGAAGTATGAGGGTTTCATACGGAAACTCATCTGTTACACAGGGAATTCATTTTTTAAACTTATTTGAACTCCAGACTTTTTGAGTGTTCAAAATGCACCATTCAAAGCCACATCATCAATTTTCAACCCTTCCTGACTTCATTTGTTATTTTTCATGCATTTACTGATTTTTTTAGCTATAAGACCCTGAAATTCAAAAGTATTTTAAATGAACTCTGAAAAGGTTGAAAGTTGGCATGGTATCATCATTTCACCCACATAGCATGTGCTAAAAAGCTGAGAGAGTTACAGCAAAAACTAGATGCACTTCGTGTACAAAATTGACAATCTCTTTCGAAGTATCAGGGTTTCATACGGAAACTCATCTGTTACAAAGATATTTCATTTTTTAAACTTATTTGAACTCCTGACTTTTTGTGTGTTCAAAATGCACCATTCAAAGCCACATCATCAATTTTCAACCCTTTCTGACTTCATTTGTTATTTTCATGCATTTACTGATTTTTTTGAGCTGAATGACCTTGAAATTGAAAAGCACTACAAATGAACTCTAAAAAGGTTGAAAGTTAGCATGGTATCATCATTTCACCCACATAGCATGTGCTAAAAAGTTGAGAGGGTTACGACAAAAATTGGATGCACTTCGTGTACAAAATGGACAATCTCTTTTGAAGTATCAGGGTTTCATACGGAAACTCATATGTTACAAAGAGATTTCATTTTTTGAAAATTTATTTGAACTCCTGACTTTTTGTGTGTTCAAAATGCACCATTCAAATCCACATCTTCAATTTTCAACCCATTCTGACTTCACTTGTTATTTTTCATGCATTTACTGATTTTTTTGAGCTGAATGACCTTGAAATTGAAAAGCATTTCAAATGAAATCTGAAAAGGTTGAAAGTTGGCATGGTATCATTATTTCACCCACATAACATGTGCTAAAAAGTTGAGAGGTTACGACAAGAACTAGATGCACTTCGTGTACAAAATGAACAATCTTTTTCGAAGTATGAGGGTTTCGGACGAAAACTCATCTGTTACAAAAGGGATTTCATTTTTTTGAACTTATTTCAACTCCAGACTTTTTGTGTGTGTGCAAAATGCACCATTCAAAGCCACATCATCAATTTTCAACCATTTCTGACTTCATCTGTTATTTTTCATGCATTTACTGATTTTTTGAGCTATAAGACCCTGAAATTCAAAAGCATTTCAAAATGAACTCTGAAAATGTTGAAAGTTGGTATGGTATCATCATTTCACCCACAGCATGTGCATAAAAGTTGAGAGGGTTACGACAAAAACTACATGCACTTCGTGTACAAAACAGACAATCTCTTTCGAAGTATTAGGGTTTCATACGGAAACTCATCTGTTACAAAGAGATTTCATTTTCTTGAACTTATTTGAACTCCAGACTTTTTTTGTGTTCAAAATGCACCATTCAAAGCCACATCATCAATTTTCAACCCTTTCTGACTTTATTTGTTATTTTTCATGCATTTACTGATTTTTTTAGCCGAATGACCTTGAAATTGAAAAGCACTACAAATGAACTCTTAAAAGGTTGAAAGTTGGCATGGTATCATCATTTCTCCCACATAGCATGTGCTAAAACGTCGAGAGGGTTACGACAAAAACTGGATGCACTTCGTGTACAAAATGGACAATCTCTTTCGAAGTATCAGGGCTTCGGACGAAAACTCATCTGTTACAAAGGGATTTCATTTTTTTGAACTTATTTCAATTCCAGACCTTTTGTGTGTTCAAAATGCACCATTCAAAGCCACATGGATAGATAAGTAACCAAAATAATAGAAGTTCATCATCACATTATGTGTGTCAAAAACCATTACAGATTTACATGGATAGATAAGTGACCAAATTAATAGAAGTTCATCATCACATTAAAAACAAAGTACACACATAGTTCTCATTGAACAACATATAGCTCTCTAGAGCATCTAGTTAAACCATACATTGAAACTATGTGAAACATTTCAATGCAACAATAAATGCGATCATAATCACAACCAAAGGTAAAAATTGATCCAACGGCATAATGATACCAAGCCTCGGTACGAATGGCATATTTTCTAATCTTTCTCGTCTTCAACCGCATTGCATCCATCTTGATCTTGTGATCATCGACGACATCCGCAACATGCAACTCCAATATCATCTTCTCCTCCTCAATTTTTTTTATTTTTTCCTTCAAGTAATTGTTTTCTTCTTCAACTAAATTTAACCACTCGACAATAGGGTCGGTTGGAATTTCCGGTTCAACTACCTCCTACATAAATAAAATCTATGTCAACTTGATGGGCATAATTGTCATAAACAATAAATTAACCAAATAGTTATAAAAGATAATATATACCACATCCGAATCATAGCCAGGATGAGGGCCGACGGGGGCGAATACCAAAACCACCGCACTATATAAGCACAAGCAATAATAAAAGCAAAAAAATTAGACAAGTATCTATCTAAAGTAAGAATTTTTTCTTTCAGAAGAAGATAACAGGCTCACCACAGTGGTGCAGGCGACGAGATCGGCGCGGGTGATCGACGACGGTGAAGACGGGGACGGGACGTGACAGACCGCTAAACCTAGACAAATCTCGAGGAAAATGGAGTTTGGAGGTCGAGCTTCGAGAGGAGAAAGCTTAACTAGCGTGGCTTGGGCATTCCATCGAACACCTCGTGTGCATAGGAGGTGAGCTAGAGCAACCAAATGCCCTCTCCTCGCCGGCCAGAAAAAACTGAGCACTGTGGAGTACTCTGCTACAGCGACGGGGTATATATAGGCAACTCATTTGTCCCGGTTCATGGCTGGAACCGGGACTAAAGCCCAGCCTTCTGTCCCGGTTCGAGCCAAGAATCGGGACCAATGTTTGTGGGCCAGGAGCGAGGTCCATTGGTCCCGGTTCGTGCCTGGAACCGGGACAAATGGGTCCATACGAACCGGGACCAATGCCCACGAGGCCCCAGCCGGCCCCCTGGGCTCACGAACCGGGACGAATGCATCCATTGGTCCCGGTTTGTGGAAGAACCGTGACTCATGGGTTGGCCAGGCCCGAACGAAAGCACTTTTTTCTACTAGTGCGCGTAGGTCGCTGTCAAGCAACATAGGGCGTACCCCTTCGCCTGCTGCTGTTTCTGTGGGCCGGCCCATTTGGGGTTTCACCCGAACCTTCCTTGAACCGGGTTTTTTGTTTTTGTTTTATTTTTTCTTTCTTTTCCTTTTCTTGATTTTTTCTTTTTCTTTTTTGATCTGTTTCAGTTTTCTTTTTTTGCTTATCACTTTTTTCTTGTTTTTTTTTGCATGGTAATACATGTCTCATTCATATAATAAAGATCAAAGTACAAGTCACGTAAGGACCAACATAACAAAACTAAAAAAATAGAAAAACATCTCTGAGGTTGACACCAACGAATGTCATCTGCCTTCGGCACAACCATAGCAGCCATCAAAGAAAAGAACGACGGATCACCTCATCACTCGAGCTCGACGCGGCTCCATCGCTGATATATAGCTTTGCGGACCTCCAAGGTGGCTCATCAAAAGTGAAGCCTTTGCCGTTGAACAAATCAGATCGGGGCAACACCCCAGACACATCATCGAACTCCTGATCTGGCACCCCACCACGACTAAGACGCCGAAGGAGGAGACCATACCTGCATCCACGAACCACGAACCCAGCACATATTTTGTCTTTCAAATGTCGTCGATGCAGACCACAATCTGCATCAGCTCCTGACCTACCTCCCAAACTCCACGCCGACAGTGGAGCAAACGCCGTCGCAACCGTGGAGCCCGAGGACACATGTCCACAACGAGAATGCCACCGCCAAGCCATCCTTGATTGAATAGACTGGTTTCCAAATCCATCCCCAACCATAGGACCGATGGCCTCGTCAGAGAAGGATCCGAAGAATCTTTATTCAACGCCGTCATTGTCGCCGCCGAAGTCAAGACGATGAACAAACCTGAAAATCTAGACTACAAGGGAGTAAAAACGATCCACACGCGTAGATCCGGCGACCCCCTCACCACTGGTGACTGAGGTCGCCGGCGGAGGGGAGCCGCCGGAGGACGGCGCTGGAATATTGGCCTCTTCTTACAATGGCTAGGGTTTCAGCCAGGACGAGTGGAAAACATTTTTATTCTTGTTTTTCATGGTTAGCTGTTCCCAGACGATCAATTCAAACAAAAAAAAAATCAACTAAAAGAAACTATTCCCAGACGGGATAGAGAGAGAATCGAATCGCTGCCGCCAGTCAAAGAGAATCGCTGACTTGCCACACCACGCAGCTCGTCTACGGCGAGGTCATGGCGGAGATGATCGCGATATCGCTCTCGGCGAAGGTCGCCGCAACACTGTCGCGCAGTCCGGCCGCCGACATCTCCTCTCTCGTGGCCGTCCGCTCGGGCATCGCCGCCGCGGCGCGGGACCTGGAGCTCCTCCGCGCGTTCCTCCGGTTCGCCGACTCCCGCCGCGGCGCGGACGCGCTCGTCTCCGCCTGGGTGGACCAGATCCGGGACGTCGGCTTCGAGCTGGAGGACGCCGCGGACGAGTACGCCTTCCTCTCCGGCGGCGGCTTCGTCCGCGCCTGCGCTAACTTCGGCGCGTGGCTCGCTCTGGCCAGACGGCTAGGCAAGGCGCGGGTGAGGCTCCGCGACCTGTCGGACGCCAAAGAGCGGTACGGCATCCGGCCGGCCTCGGCCTCGGCGTCAAGCTCCGCTCCCGACGGCGGCACCGGGCCCGTCGTAGGCCAGAAGCTAGCGGAAGCAGCGCATTTCGTGGAGCATGGGGAAATCGTCGGCGTTGCGGCGCACAGAAGGTTACTGATGAAATGGCTCACGGAGGACCTTGACTCTCGGAGGTCGCTGGTCGCCGTGTGTGGGATGGGCGGCGTTGGCAAGACCACTCTGGTCACCAGCGTGTACAAGGAAGTCGCCGCAAGCCGCTACTTCGACTGCGCTGCATGGGTGTCCGTCTCCAAGAACTTCACGACAGATGACCTCCTAAGGAAAATTGCCAAAGAATTGCACCGGGACGCCCGTGCCGGCATGCCAGACATTGACGAGATGGACTACCGGTCGCTGGTGGAAGCTTTGCGTGGGCATCTCGCCAACAAGAGGTACCTATTATTGCTGGATGATGTCTGGGATGCCAATGCGTGGTATGAAATCCGCAATGCGTTGGTTGATGATGGAACCGGGAGCCGGATAATCATCACGACACGCAGTCAAGATGTTGCCTCTCTCGCAGCATCCACCAGGATCATCATGTTGGAACCGCTATGTGAGCAAGAAGCATGGTCCTTGTTTTGTAACACCACATTCAGGAAAGATGACAACCGGGAGTGCCCGCATCATCTGGAGCATTGGGCTGTGAAGATACTGGGCAGATGTTGTGGTCTACCATTAGCAATTGTATCAGTTGGTAACCTCCTTGCATTGAAGGATAGAATGGAATTTGCTTGGAAGAATGTCCATGACAGCCTTGACTGGAATGAAAGCAGTGTTCGTGGAATTGGGCAAGTGTCAAGCATACTGAATCTGAGCATTGACGATCTGCCTTATCACCTGAAGAGATGTTTGCTGTATTGCAGTATATACCCTGAAGATTTCTTGATCAAAAGGAAAATTCTGATCAGGTTGTGGATTGCAGAAGGCTATATTGAGGAAAAGGGCCAGGGCACATTGGAGGAGATCGCGGATGATTACCTGAACCAGCTAGTGCAACGTAGCCTGTTGCAGGTCACGTTAACAAATGAGTTTGGAAGAGTGAAGCGGCTCTGCATTCATGACTTGATCAGAGATTTGATTCTGCAAAGGTCCATGAAGGAAGGGTTCATTGTATTCTCAAAGTGTTCGCCAGCATTGGAGTCAAGCAAGAAAATCCGTCATCTTATACTTGACCGATGCGAAACTGATCATATAACAGTTCCAAAGTTGACATCGATTCGCTCCTTCAATGCATTTATGGCAGATATGGATTCTTCAGTCTTGTCAGGTTTTAGGTTATTAACCGTTTTAAACTTATGGTTCGTTCAGATAGACAAACTACCTAGCTCACTGACCAATCTTCTTAATCTGCGGTATCTTGGCATCCGGTCCACTCTCATTAAAGAGCTTCCACAGGAATTGGGGAAATTACATCACTTGCAAACTTTAGACACCAAGTGGTCCATGGTCCAGAGGTTACCGCCTAGCATCGCGAAGCTCAAGAGCCTGCGCCACCTGATATTGTATAGACGCCGATCTGCAGATTTTAGGTATCCAGGGCCTGGTTCAGCAATTGTATTTCCACAGGGACTACAAAACCTAACCTGCCTGCAGACCCTTAAATACGTCGAAGCTGATGAGAACATGGTCAAATCCTTAGGAAGCTTGAAACATATGAAGAGCTTAGAGATATTTGGTGTGCATGAGAGCATTCTTGTTCATTTGCCCTCATCCATCTCCAAAATGAGTGGCCTTCTGCGCTTGGGAATTGTCAGTCGAGATGCTAATGTATCATTGGACTTGGAGCCATTTTCTCAACCACCAATAAAGCTACAGAGACTTTCATTGACAGGGATGTTAGCAAGAGGTAAGTTGCCTTCATGGGTTGGCCGCCTTGATAGCCTCGTGCAGTTGCGTTTATGTTCATCTGAGCTCAAGGGAGATTCAGTTGGATTGCTCTCATCACTTCCCAGGCTGTTACATCTTACTCTGAACAATGCATACAGCGACAAGAGCTTGACCTTTCCAGAAGGCTGTTTTCCAGTTCTTAAGAAGCTGAGTTTACATGACTTGCCTAACCTTTCTCATGTAGAGTTTCAAAAAGGGAGTCTTGTACATCTAAATGAGCTAATCTTAGGCCGTTGTGATGACCTAACTGAAATACCCCAAGGCATCGAGAACCTCACACAGCTTGACAACCTTGAGCTTTTTGAAATGCCAAGTGAGATAATACAGAAGATTCAAGATGGAGAAACATTACAGGGGAATTATGAAGATTCTCAGCGCGCTACAACTGTTAAGAACATCCACTGGTATAATGGACAATTGTTGCAGAAAACAATTTACACCAACCTATTCACAGTTCAAATGTAGGGCATTGAAAAATGGATGCAGCATTGTGTGAAGTCTACTGGATTGCTGGGCACTAAAAAGATGGATGGGCATCAATCACCTTCTTGGAGGCGTCATTTTGAGGTTTTGGCACTGCTTCCACTTTGTTCCTTCTCCAGCCAGCTTTGACGGTTCAGGCAACGACCAGAGGTGTCGTTTCAGAGTTTCGGACCCTCACCTCTTTGTCATTGGTAAAGAACCTGTTGGTTACGGAATGTGCATTGCCATGAAACAAGGAGGCACGTGTGTGTGTGTGTGTGTGTGTGTCCTCAATGCTTCGCCATGGTGTTGTTGTAGAGGCAGGGTTCATGTATTTGTATCAGCTTGATGCTTCAATAAATAGCCGGTTTCCAAGCAAAAAAAGTGAAGCATGCCCAGATATTGTAAAGCATGCACTGATATACAAATCCAATTAGTGAATGAAGTTGATCTTGAACAGTGGACTTAAAACCCTCCTTATTTTATCTTGTGGATTTTATAGCATTTGTGGCCACATTGGCAGTGATCTAGGGTGATAATGCAGCTGGGGCTGCACATATTAGTACAGGAGAAATTAGTCGCTGCATTTCACAGGAAAAAGACATGTTCACTGGATCACGGATCTCAGTGCTTTATAGCATACTTTCTGTAGTTACTGTAAATTTTAAATGCTCATCAGTTGGTTTACCATATGTTCTCGAATGGTGATGGCTTTCATATAGAATGGCACAAGTGTTTTACACAAGCTTTTCATGAATATATGAATTTGTCAGCAGATTGCTGCAAGGAGCACAATGGATTAACAGATAAATGAAATAAGATTAACATGATGACATTCTGAGATACCTCTTTACACATAACATTATAACAGAAGACGGAGCGAACTGAATTCAAGCTATTACACAAGATTCTGGTATTATGTCATACGGAGACGTAGAAGGGAACAGTTATTAAGCCCACTTCTAGTAGTAAGAAAGACTTCACGAAATTGTCGATCATGAAGTTCCTCACAGGCTTTACATCCACTGCATCAGGTGATATGAGCCAAGTGTGTGCAACTGTACGTACATTTCTCCACTCAATTGCTGTTTGCACCTAATGATTGAAGTGAAAAAATATATATAGCCATCAATCCCTCTGGAGTAGCACACGAAAAATCAATCTGCTACATACACTAGATTTTCTCTAATACAGTAAAGCTAGTGTATTATGTATAGAAGAGAGTTCTGCAAGCGCAGTTACAACGCCAGCAATAGGCACGGCAGACAACCCCCCAAAAAACAAAAAATATATTACAGTATACTGATTTAAGTTTACATGGTACTCATTTGTCACAGCATATTCTGTGGCCGTACAAGCAGTGCGCTAGACCAGGGTTTCAAGCTTGTGCTAATATGACCACGGCATGCTGCCAATTCAGATATTCATCACAAACATCAGACCGTTGCAGCGAAGGATGACAGCATTTGCCTGCGCCTGGCAGCATACGAGAACACAAGATACTGATGCCTGAAGAACTATGCAACAACTGAGCAAAAGACAAAGAGTTGCAAAATCACTTCTTTACCAGACAGACAATTCCTATATGCGTACACAGCAAAACTCGTTGGAAAAGAATAAATACAATCAACATTCAACTATACTTGGATATCACACAAGCTGGCGAAGTACGACCCGTTAAACTGCAGCAGGGAACCCAAATGGAAGGATAATTCAAACAAGATCTTTCGATAGCTTTGGTGACACGACTATAGATTGAAGGTCAGTGCCTGCGGCTGGTAGCAGGTGCTGGTCCAGGTCATCCATATCACTGTCCCCATTAAGGGATGAACCTGATGAATCCACATCATCATCTAGCAGATAATCAAAAACAGCTAAATGTTAGTACGTAGATTTTTTGGTAAGAAAGAGAGGAAGAATGAGAGTAATTAGTCAATACATAAGTTCGAAAGGAAAATCTAGCTATTAGAACAAGTGACACACCGTCTATAAACTCTCTTCCATTCTGGACAAGTATCAGCTTTCAGTGAAAATGCCAAGTGGCTTAAAAGAGTGTAGTACTAAATCAGTAGAAATCAAAAATTTCTCATGTTGTTCCCTCTACAGCTCTACTTCATCTAAGTTTCCCTAACAAGAGAAACATCACGACTCATTCTCTTTTCAAGATGAATATGTAAATACGATCAGCACACTGAAGAATATAGCTCACCAAATGGACAGGGGAGTGTTTTTCTTTTATGGAAAATGGGAGGGCGGAAGACAATGTACAACACAAAGCCAAACAGATTTACTGCGGAGATGGCATTGCACATGACCGGAATGTCCTCTTATTATTTCTTACTAAGAGATTTCTGAGGCATGCATCATTCAAAACATACAACAAATAGTATAACACTCAAATGGCTGTTTACAGTTTGAAGCATACAGGTCATTTAGAATGTGAACTACAACTACACAACAAGCTGTAGCTAACAACTGCATGCAATTTACTCAAAATTATGATAGACAGCTATCTTCCCAAATTATAAGCAAAATGCAGGCACTAGAAGCAGACTCACCAGAGAATGCAGGATGGGTTGCTCCGTGAGTAACAGTAGAGACTTGAATGCTTTTTGGTAGGAGGCGATTGAAAAAGTAACCTAAGAATTTCACAAAATACAATCAGTCACCTATCGTTCCGAGCAAGTCAGGAAGAGAAGACATAAAACTTGTAATACTGACCCACTCTTGCTAGCCGATTTACCCATCCAGGGGCTGGTTTTTTGGTTATGTTCTTACAGACATCATCCGTAAAATGGTTGCAGTTCTTTGAAATCAGATGATATGTATTCCCATTGTACTTTCCTGCAAGAGTTTGAATGAACGAGCGGAACTCTGCCCTAGACATCTCAGTTGTACCCATCCATACAGACCTTCTATAGACATAGCCAGGGCAACGTTTTGGTTCAACCTCAAAAACCCCACTGGTTGAGAGATCATGGGCTCCAAAAGCATATTCCAAACCATGAACTGTAGATTTCAGTTACAACAAAACAATGAGTTAAAGCTCACACCTCTAGAGAGAATCCACAAAATGCATGTCTGGAAAAAAAACAAAAAAAGCTGCTACACATAAAAGCATGAGCCAATAGCCCAACGTGCAGTAAATATTTTGACATAACTAGCAACCTCAGTCCATAAAATGTAGACCGCTACCAATGAACATATCATGTATGACTAGCACTCTACCATTTTCATTAGCTGCAAACATTCAGTTATGATGCCAGCTCAATGTCAAAGCTAAAAGAAGCGCTAGGCATTAATTGTGTGTTTTGCCACCACCTTGCGCTTTTCTGAAGCACACACTTGAGCGCAATTATGCCGCGCACATTAAGTGCTAGGTGTTTCGCTACTGCCTAGAGCCTAGGCGCGCATTTTTTTTAACTATGCTCGATATCCACCTGTTCTTCAAACAAGAACATGACTGCAACATCACACACAAACTCTGCCGAGAGATTTGCCACCAACCCTGTCAATCAATAGATAAACCCATACATCGTTATAATTCACGACCATTCTTCAATTTTTAGTTTTCTTCTGCATCCTACAACTTCCCCATAGAACTGAAAACTACTTTGCCCTGACAGCTGGTTTAAGCTGCTTGTTTACTAATTACTGGTCACCAGAAATTCAGGCCACGATCAGTCCATCACCCGTCAATTCTTCCCTTGCACTACTACCCTGTTATCCTGCCTCTTTCCAAGCACTAACCTACAGGACTTACGGCAGCGTCCCTGTACAAAGCTCAACAAAGCAACTACCAACATACGTACAGTACAGCGTCCCTGTAGGTACTAGCTAGAACCAAATCAAGCTCCAGCGAGTAGGAAGGGAGAGGGCGGAGAGTCAGAACCTTCGATCCCGGAGTGGAAGATGCCGAGGCCGAACCAGTAGAGGTAGTCGTTTATGGGCGTCAGGTCGTACACGTTGAGGACCACCGCCGCGCCGCCGCCGCCGCCGTTCTGTGCCGCCATGCGAACCCCGCTGGCGCTGCAGATCCCTTCAGCGGCGCTGCATTAGCGTCCACCCGCCGGATCAGTGCCTGGGGGAACCCATGCGGAGCCGGAATTTGGTCCGCTCCGGTTCGATTTTGCTTGGTTCTGGGCTCGGAGAGGGGAGGGGAAAGCGTGGTTAACGTCGGGGATTATCTAGGGGAGTACCACCCCTCCTGTCTCTCGATGGTCTTAGCCATCCGTTACGCGCTGCAGTTGATGGTGGATTCTTTAGGGTGGCCGTCGTGTGGGACCGTCTGCGGGCGGGTCCGCATTGTCATGGATGCAGCTGGGTTGTTCTGCGGGTGGGGGAAGGTTCAGTTATGCTTGGTGATGGAGAGAGGTGTCTGATAGTGGGGAGTCACGACTCGCAGCCCGCAAAGGCGCGCCCACGGGACGGGCGGGCTACGTCGGGCTCGTGGGTCCCAGCGGGAAGAGGAATGGTGGCTTTGACTCTTCTGGGAAGAGAAGGCTTGGCCGCTTCTCGTCCGACACCGTTTACCAGCAATCCAGCGAAGCTGGTTCCACCTGGGACTTGGAGTTTCCTGCGTTCTCCGATGGTGCATCCAATGGACGCTGCTTCGGTGTCTTTGAGACCCAAAGGTAGGTGTCTTAAGGCATCAAAGTTAGTCCAGCATGATGCACTTTTTGAGGCTAGTAAGAGCTTGTTTGGGACTGCTATGCTCCTTATAATTCAGCTCCGCTCCAGAAAACACAAGCCAAACGGGGTAGTTTCACGGTATGCCGCTCTGCAAAAAAACTAGAATCCAAGGTACAACTCTCAGTTTTTTTATGAAGCTCTTCAGGGGGTGCTCCAAAAAACTCTAGAAGCCGGAGTTAGGTAAAATTTACCCACCACTGCCACCAGTAAGTGGATACCCCTTCGTTTCTTCCCCCTCAACCAATCAAATAGATCATTTCCATCAAATTTCTCATTCTTGAAGCTGGAGCTAGATGGCAGCCAAACATTCTCTTTGGTAGTACTACAACTTCTAGATGAAACTGCTCCAAAGTGAATTTAGTGGAGCGAAACCGATTTTTGTGAAGCGGAGCAGTCCCAAACAGGCCCTAAATGTCTCAATCTTTACAGGAGACTATACTGAATACTTCTTCAACAGGAACTCTCAAGACGTACTTCTTAGGGTTAAGCTTCATGCGGAATTTTTTGAGGTTAGCAAACGTTTCTGCAGGATTTGCCATATATCCTCCTTCTTTCGGATCTTGATTACTCCTCCTTTCAGATTTTAATTACCACGTTGTCGACATAGACCTGTATGTTTCTTTTGATCTCTGGTAAGTGGCGTCCGTGTTTTTCAAGCCGAAGGGCATAGAGGGGCGCCGAAAGGGGTGACGACGTCTTGAAATTCCGCCACCACAACCAACGCATCGACATGTTGGATGCTTTCTTGATCCCACTGACAGGCGTACTGGATGTTGCCATTCACCGTGGATGACTTTGCTAGAGTCTGTCATCTTGAACTAGTGGTAGATCATAGTGGGTGTTGAACCGGTATGGGCCCCAGCCCAACTGTACCTATCTCTTAGGCCCAAGCCCATGAGAAATGTTGACCTAGAAGGGAAGCTCCTCCTCCTATGTTCTGTGAGAGCCGCTACACACCAAGAAAGACACAGCAGCAGCTGCTCCTGGTATGCTACTCCTCCAAGTTCAACATGATATCAGACCAGGCTGCAGCGGCAGCGGCAGTGCCGGTGGTGTAGTCCGGCGAGGAGGAGCTGCTGGGGCGAGCGACGGCGAGCTAGGCGCAGCGGCTGCAGCTGGTGGCGGAGTGCAGCGAGGCGGCGCGACCGGCTCGGGAGAGGAGGTTGTTATGCGCGCATGCTGGAGGTGCTGCTGCTGCTGCGTGAGGCAGCGAGAGAGAGATTGAGGGGAAGAAAGAAAAGGAAGGGCAAGTCACGCATCTCACCTAACATGGCAGCAACGCTGTCAGGTCCACCGCGAGAAGCTGTAGTTTGTCTCCAAGTCCCTTTCTACTCTCGGCTGTTGATTGCTACGGGTTGGTAAAGGAAGGAGAGGTGACGAACTGCTGCTGGTGAGAAGAGGAGAAGAGGAGTGCTACTACTGCTTGCAGGTGCTGAAAGTCTTGCTGTTTTTGGTCTGCTGCTGATTGAAAGGGAAAATGACGGAGGAAGCACTGGCGGCTGCAATGGACAAGCTTGCGGACATCATGGCCGCGAAGATGGTGGCTGCCGGTGAGAAGGCACCTGCTGATGTGGGCTCGAGCGCTGTGCAGGCAGAGATGGTGCAGAAGATTGAGCTGGCTCCAAACAAGTTGAAGTTAGAAGGTGTAGAGAACTACCTGAGGTGGTCGAGGAGAGGTAAACTCATCCTCAGAACTAAGTCACTGGAAGACTATGCTCTTGGTGAGGTGAAGGAACCAGAAGACAAGAGGGGAGCCTCATGGAAGAAATGGAATGCCACGGATATTTTGGTGTTGAATTGGCTGCTGAGTTCTCTATCCCCTTCTGTTGCTGCTTCGGTGGAGGACCTCCCTACTGCTGCTGAGGTATGGGCAGCGTTAGCTAGTATGTACTCAGGGAAGGGAAATGTCATGTTGGTCTCCAAAATTGAAGACACTGTGCATGATCTCACTCAAGGTGATAGGACTGTAATGATGTATGTTGAAGAGCTGAAACATCTTTGGGCTGATTTAGACTATCTTGCACCTCTTGTGTTGCCACATGTTGAGTGTGCAGTGATAGCTAGAAAGTGGGTTGAGGATAGCGTGTCCTCAAGTTTCTGAAGGGGCTGGACTCCATGTTTGAGAATAGAAGGGCTATCTTAATGCAACAAGCTGAGTTGCCGTCACTAAGAGATGCCATTGCTGCTATAGCACAGGAGGAGACTAGACTGAAAGCTGTGGAGCGGTCAAAGGTGGCTTCCAGACCTGCTTATCACATAATGAATAGGCCTGAGACAAGAGACTTCCACAATTGTGGGCTGAAAGGGCATCTCAGTTACCAGTGCACAGCCCCACCGAAGAGAGACAACAAAGGCAGATGAGGTTACAGAGGCAGCTACAGAGGAGATGGAAGGGGATACTATCGTGGAAGCAACAACAGAGGAAGAGGTGCTCCACGTAACTATAACAACTACAATCTCTACCAAGGGGAGGCCAGAGCGAATGTATCTGTCATGAGTGAGGGTCAGTCCAGTTCTTCTCATAGTCAAGACATGAGAAATGAGCAGCAGGGTCAAGACAACAGGAACGAACAGCAAGCAGAGACAGTGTTTGGTGACTTTGCTCATTTTGTGTACTCTGATGAAGGTAATGAAACTGCATCTGTTGCTGTTCATAGGGCTGGTGTAGATTGGGTGTTAGACTCAGGGGCATCGAAACATGTAATCGACAATGTTAGAGAGTTTGAATGCTACCAACAGTACCCCCAATCGTACAATGGAACTATTCAAACTGCAGATGGTACTGCACAACCTATTAAGGGGGTTGGGGCAGTGCAATGTACTCCAAGTATTAAGTTGGAATCAGTTTTGCATGTTCCAGCTTTCCCAGTTAGTCTAGTGTCATTGAGTGCTTTGATTGATCAGATAGATTGTGACGTAACTCTTAACAAGTACCGCCGTTTGATTCAGGAGATGGGAACTGGGAGGAGGCTTGGGGCAGGAACCAAGCATAGAGGACTATGGTACATGGATCACCAGGAGGATGTGAAGACTGCTGGCATGGCTCTTGCTGCGACTATGACAGAGAAGGAAGCATTAGCTATGATCCACCATTCTAGGTTTGGACATGTTTCTTTTGAGAAAATGAAGAAAGCTTTCCCTGATGTAATGAATGGTTTAGATAAAACCAAGTTAAGGTGTGAGGCATGTGAGTATGCTAAACACACTCGGATATCGTATGTGAGTAAGGGGCTCAGGAGTATAGTCCCATTTGTGCTTGTTCATTCAGATGCTTGGACATGTCCATCAACCTCGATAAATGGAATGAATATTTTGTCACCTTCATTGATTGCAATACTCGCATGACATGGATGTTTTTAATGCGACATAAAGATGAGGTGTTTGAGTGTTTTAAGGACTTCTGTGTGTATGTTAAAACTCAATTCAAGGTGCAGGTTCAAATGATAAGGACTGACAATGGGACAGAATATGTCAACAGAAGGCTGGGAGAGTTCCTATCAGACCAAGGTATTCTGCATCAGACATCTTGCCCGGACACTCCTCCCCAAAATGGCGTGGCAGAGCGGAAAAATCGGCATATCCTTGAGGTGGCGCGCTCAATCATGTACACTATGAATGTGCCAAAGTGTCTATGGGGTGAAGCCGTTTTGACTGCAACCTATCTGATCAATCGCACACCATCTATGATACTGGGTATGAAATCTCCTTGTGAACTCTTATTAGGAGAAAATAAATTTAGTGTGCCACCAAAGGTGTTTGGATGTACTTGTTTTGTCAGGAATCATAGACCTGCTGTGAACAAGCTGGATCCTCGGGCGGTGAAGTGTATCTTTATTGGCTATCCTTCTGGACAAAGAAGGTATAAGTGCTGGAGTCCTTCTAATAGGCGCACTTTCATGAGCATGGATGTGACATTCTGGGAATCTAATCCTTACTATGGGGAAAAACCGACTTGAGCTCATTGTTTGAATGTCTGGACCAGCCTGTGGTTGGTCCAGAGGGGGAGGTGGTGTTGCAACCTCAAGTATCTGAAGCAAGAGGGAGAGAACAAGGAAGAGGTCAGGAAGAGGTGATGCAGCAAGCAAGACCGCCAATGGTGGGTGATACGTCTCAGTCGTATCTACTTTTCCAAGCACTTTTGCCCTTGTTTTGGACTCTAACTTGTATGATTTGAATGGAACTAACCCGGAATGACACTGTTTTCAGCAGAATTGCCATGATGTTGTTTTATGTGCAGAAAAAAAAGTTCTCGGAATGACCTGAAACTCCACGGAATATCTTACAATAAATAATAAAAAATCCTCGCCAAAGATGAAGACCA